TCTGTGGAAGTCAGCAGAGGGGCTGGTACCACCTGTACTCTTTTCAGCTTGGGTTTGATGAGGAGAGGAAGAAGGAGAACCTCAGACAAGCAGAGTTCTGACCTTAAAACTTCAGACTGGCACAAGCCTCTTCTTCAAAGAAATGCAAGCTACTTATCACTCCCCTCAAGGCTTTTCTGTTTGGAGGTGGCCACGTCTTGTTCTCTAATGAGAGAAAAGAAACAACCAAACAAGTAAGTCAGGCCATGCTGGCCAAAGTGTTCAACTACTATTGTGTGTGAAGGAGAATGGGAACTGAAAAGGAATTACAAGCCGACAATGAGTCACGTTATGCCGCCTTGTCTTCCTTCCAGAAGAGAAAGAAGGACAAATTTCCCCTTCAGACTCTCCAGTTCCCTGGGGAAAAGAGAGACCATGTTATACTTTTAGCAGCTTTTGTTCTTGGGTGTGCTCCTGGACCTAAGGGCACAGATAGAGCGGTGCCATGGGGGAGGCTGGTACCTCTGACCGGCCAGACTGAACCATTGGTGAGAGCCTGGAGAACTTTCTTTCATTTCTATTGTTGTGCTCGAGAATTCTGCAGGACAAAAGGGGAAAAAAAAAAAAAAAAAGAGATTCAGGGACACTGAAGGCAATTTTCCAAAAATGGAAACCAATCTTTTTGCCAAGAGGATTTCCTGAGCAATCTAAGTGGCTGAGGATCTTGTTTCAAATGAAGTTTGATCAGTGGGGTATCTCCTCACACACAAATTGTGCTGAGGCGTTTTTATTCCTTTACGCATGCTTCTTCCTAAACCTGCTAACTAGTGAGGGCTGCTGTCCCCGGACACCAGCTCGGGCTCTGATAGCTTTTGTGAGAACGTTTGTATCAAAATATTGTTGTGCTGGAGTCTCCAAGGCCATCTGGGGCTTTGTGCAGACAGGGCGCTTACAAATGAATGTGAACCAAAGCAAATCAACATTGCTTGGCAGGGATGGAATGCATTGCTAGGGTCTGTCTCTGCCAAGCTAGACTGTTTGGCTCCAGTCCCACTCTTCGGGGGGATTGTCTGTCAAAACACAATTTGGTATTGTACGGCGGCGTCATGGTTACATGGCTCACTACTCCTTTAACCCCTCTCAGGCCTTACGCTCTTGTTATCTGTTGAGTGGAGACCTGTGAATCCCCAACTCTTGAAGCAGGCCTCGGGCTCTGGTGCCTTGCACCAATTGTCCCTCGTGCTGCAGTGTTGGTTCAGGTAGAGCTTTCCCTTAGGAGCTGTCAACTGGTAGATTGCAACCTTCTTCAAAGGAAGACATTATTTCTAAGAAGACGTATCTATCTCATGACAGAAGCCTGGCTTCTTGGCCTAACCACCTCAAAAAAACAGTCATCCTTTCAAGGTGGGAATCCAGCTTGGACTCTCAATTGACTCTCCTTGATTATCCCGTCCCTTCATGAGTGGCAACTGCTGCTTATGCTGAGCCCTGCTGGCAAGCCCAGAGGCAACCCATTAGGGGACAAGCCAAGCCATCAACATGAATGTCCTCATGGGTTTGCCAAGAGGTGGATAGTCATATCACCCTCACCATTTCTGGACATGTTTATGAGTTCGTTCAACCTAAATATTCATTCAACCTAAATATTCATTCAACTAGAGAAGGCTCCGAGGAGACCTCATTGTGACCTTCCAGACATTCCAGTACCTAAAGGAGGCCTACAGGAAAGAACTGGGGACAGAATTTTCAGCAGGGCCAGTTGTGATAGGACAAGGGGTAATGGTTTTAAACTAAAAGAGGACAGGTTTAGACTAGATATAAGGAAGAAATTTTTTACAATGAGTGTAGCAAAATACTGGCCCAGGTTGCCCAGAGAGGTGGTAGATGCCCCATCCCTGGAATCATTCAGGCTCAGGTTGGACGGGCCTCTGAGCAACCTGGTCTAGTTGAAGATGTCCCTGCTCATTGCAGGGGGGTTGGACTAGATGGCCTTGAAAGGTCCCTTCCAACCCAAACTAACCTATGATTCTATAAATATGTAGGTAGTAAATTACCACAGTGCCTTGGCCATGAGGTGACACTACAGGTAGCTCCAAGCCCCTTACGTACAGCTTTTGCTGTAGCGACAATCCTCAGTAAGCACTGGTAGAAGTGCTACCTCCGAGCACAGGTCCTTCTGGGCCACCTCCCACCTTGGAGCAGGAGGAAGAGGTGCAAATTCCCTTGGAGAGGCAGATCCCCAGCTGAGACCCCGGTGGCTGAGCCTGGAGATGACCGAGCAGAGCAGTGGCTCTCCATAGGTATGACAGAAGGCACGTGCCATCCCGCAGGCAGGCAGCTGTCACGCACCACTGTCACGTCTTCTGCCAGCCTGGCACGCAGCTGCAGGCTCGTCCCCAAGTGTCATCCTTGCACAGGCTGGGACGCCAGCAGAATGAAGCCTGGCTGCCCAGGTCACACAGCTTTCCCCTCAGACTGAGGAATTGGGGTGTTTTTCCTTCAAATTTCAGCCTAGAACACACCAGTACCACATGGATCTCCCAGGTGATGACTGCTCCAGGGGTTGGGATGGGGGGTCCGGAACCTGTTGTTATCCCAGCAGGCTGGGGACCGCAGTCCATCTGTTCTTCTCCTGGCCATGGGGCTGCATGGGTGGCCCCAGGGCTCAGCGCTCTCTGGCCTGAGGTGCAGCACAGCTGCGTGACCCTGGGTTGGTTTTGCTGGGAAAAACTGCTGCTGCTGTGAGAAAATATATGAATGAAAGCCAGGCAAGATAAGAAAAGTCAAAAAACCAGACAGAATTAAAGTTTTGGGGATGATAATAGCTAGTAATGCAAGGCTCCCAAAGTAAATGCTACGTGAAAAGGGATAAACCCCTGAAGGGCTGGTTCCATCGCTCTCTCGCTCTAAAGGTCCTTGGGATGGAGTTTAGAGATGCCCCAAGTCCTTGGTTCAGGTAAAACTCTGATGTGAGGGTAGATGCCATTTGCTGGCCTCTGAAGTGGGGGATGGAAAAAGGGGCACATTAAAAAAAAGGAAGAAAATGGGCGGCTGGGAAAGTCATAGCAAGGGAGATGTCCCCAAGGAGTGCATTTAATCCACTGGCAGGGAGGAAGCATGGAGGAATTTGACTGGGAAGGTGAACACGGACTTCTCCAGCCGAAGAGCTTGAGCAGCCCACCTCAAACACAGGTTCCCCCTCCACCCTGCCTGGAATGACTCCCTCCTACAGAAACCCCTTTCCCTGGCAAGGGATCTTTTGTCCTGAGCTGGAAGCCCTGGGGGAGATGTGCAGGGACACCACTTCTCCAGCCATGTCCTGGGAGCACTGGGTGACCTGCAGCCAGTGCAAAGCCATTGCAGAAGGGCAGGCCAGGACGTGAGCAGGGTTTGCACGGGGACAAAATGAGGGTTTGGGGCAAGGGAGGCTGAAGACCATCTTGCTGAGCTTGCATCAGCCCTGGTGTTGGGCAAGAGGCAACTAGACACACTGGATGTGCAATTGGGAGCTTTGAAGGAGCAAACAAGAGGTGCCGACGTCCAGTTATTGCAACTTTCTCCGGGTGGAAACATCTGTGTGGTGCCATTCCCACGATGAGCTGGAAATACACCCCACACACCCTTCCCCATGGCTGCATTCTCCCCTCGCCCTAAGAAATTCAGAAGTTACCCTTTCCCCATCCCAGCTCTGTCCTGCAGGTAGCTCCTCCCCACCTGCAGCCTTTCAGAGCTAATACAATGCTCTGAACCTCTTCCATTTGGGAAAAACAAACACAACTGAAGAAAAAGTGAGTTAATATGTAATTACAGTGTGCCACAGGTGCTGGCATCGCATTTAGAGGTATAGTTCACAGAATCACAGAGTCTTCTAGGTTGGAAGGGACCTTAAAGATCATCTTGTCCAACCGTCAACCTAACTGACAAAAATAGACACCTGCACAACAAACAAGGAGCATCATCACTAAACCAGACCTCCCAGCACTACATCAACCTGTCTTTTGAACACCTCCAGGGATGGTGCCTCAACCACCTCCCTGGGCAGCCCATTCCAATGCCTGAGAACCCTTTCAGTGAAAAAAGTTTTCCTAATATCCAGCCTGAACCTCCCCTGGCGTAACTTGAGGCCATTTCCTCTCCTCCTGTCACCTGTGACTTGAGAGAAGAGACCGACCCCCACCTCTCTACACCCTCCTTTCAGGGAGTTGTAGAGAGCAATAAGGTCTCCCCTCAGCCTCCTCTTCCCCAGGCTGAATAACCCCAGCTCCCTCAGCCTCTCCTCATAAGACTTGTGCTCCAGACCCCTCACCAGCTTTTTTGCTCTTCTCTGGACCTGCTCCAGCACCTCGATGTCTTTTTTGTGGTAGGGATCCCAAAACTGGACACAGTACTCGAGGTGGGGCCTCACCAGTGCCAAGTACAGCACCTGTGCCTGGAAGGAGAAGACCCTGGAGGTGACTCGTGACTCAAATGCAAACACCTTTTCATTTTTAATATGAAATTTGGCACCACCCAGCTCTTAATCTTTCACTGTCTTAATAATACCAACAGACAGACAATCAACGTATCATTTGGCAGGTCTAATGCTGAAAACTAGATTTATCCCAGTGTTGCATCAGGAGCTGGGTGAGCCCCACGGTGGCACAGAGTGAGTGGAGAGGACGGGGGTCCTTTTGCAGGGACTGGGGTCCCCGTAGAGGCGAGACAAGCCTTGGAGATGCTGGGCTCCACCTCCCGACCCGGGGTGATGCTTTGCCTTTATCTCGCTCCGGGTTTCTATCAGGAGAGGCTTATCTCTGCCGGCAAGATAAGGAGAAAGCGCAGGTTGTAGTGGCCAGGAGGTGCGACACTCTGTGGTAAAGAACGCAGGCAGCCCCACCACGGGGACCTTCTCGCCGAGAGGGCTCCGCTTCCCTACGAAGGGGGGCGGGAGCGAAGTTAATCATCTGCTGGCAATTAACCTGTGACCTCCCACGCCCACGGCACACGCGGGGCAGCGCTGTAGCTTTAACGCGGGAGGAACGGGAGGAGGCCAAGCGGCTGCCAGAAGCCACCACAGATCCCTCACTCGCCTCCCGGCTCCGGCAGAGCTCTGCCCGGCCATGGGGAGCCGCAGCCTGCTGGCCACCATCCTGGCCACCACCTTGGTCTCCCTCTTACCCCCCCCCGCCGCCCCCTCGACCCACCGCAAGCTGCTGGTCTTCTTGCTCGACGGCTTTCGCTTCGACTACATCGATGATGGCGAGCTGGAGGGGCTGCCGGGCTTTCGGGACATCGTCAACATGGGGGTGAAGGTGGACTACATGACCCCGGACTTCCCCAGCCTCTCCTACCCTAATTACTACACGCTGATGACGGGTGAGTACCTGCCCCTTCGCCGGGATGCTCCTGGGGGGGGGGCTCCCTGCGGCTTTTTCCTGCAAAAATGCCTTTAAAAGAAGAAAAAAAAAAAGCACTCCCGTGCTTTTAGCAGGGAGTTTTGGAGCACTTCGGGGTTTCAGCTCAGCACCGCTCGTCCAAATTTTCCTGCAAAAATGCCTTAAAAAGACGAAAAAAAAAGCACTCCCGTGCTTTTAGCCGGGAGTTTGGGAGCAGCACGGGGTTTCAGCTCAGCACCGCTCGTCCAAAACCTGCTCCCAACTCGGAAACGCCGCTTGGAGATGGTTTTTTGAAGTTCTCCAGACGCGGTGGTGCTGGGTCCCTCCTTGTAGGGTGGCCCCGGCTGGGTCAATGCTGGGGGCTGCTGCATGCGGAGCATGAAAACCTGGGGGAAATCCACCAAAAAAATGAGTAGAGAGCCTGCTCGCTGACTTTTCCAGGGAATAACGAGGTGTGTAAACCGAGGGTGGGTGAGAAATGAGCTTATTCCCAGTCAGCGGGTCTGTTTTGGCAAATTCAGGGTTAACTGGACTTTCTGCTTTCACAGGTCCCTGTCTTAGCCTCGCCCTAATTAAGTCCTTGTATTTCTAAGATAATCAGAAACAGCCAGATAGAAAGACGTGAAGGATTGTTTGCTTTTGCTCCCCTAGGCTTTCCCTTGTTCTGACTGCTCGGGAGAGGCTTGTGGAAAATTTGGGGGGAATAGTCGTCATTTGCATGATGCTGATTTACTTTTAAACTAAGCAGAGTGACACAGGCTTACAGTGACACTAGGAAGGAGCACAGGGTATAGCTGAGCCCTTCACACCAGAGAAAACCACCCTAGAAACAACATCTAAGTTAAAAATAATAATAATAAAAACCCTAACAACAACAAAACCCCAAACAAAAAACCAAAAACAAACGGAAAAGTTTTTCCGAAGTTTCTGATTGGATTTTTTCCCCTGAGTTATTTAACAAAGACATTCCAGCTAAGGAGGAGTGAGAAAAATCTGCCCTCTCCGAAGAAGATACGTGGTATCTTCTGCTGTCCTGAACAATACAATGCCCAGTGGTCTGTGTAAACTGGGAAAGCAAATAGATGCCATTGTAAGGCAAAAATCTGACATCAGTTGTGTCCAGCTTGTTTTGAAAGCTCTTAACCCCTTCCTCCCTCTCCCTCTTGGGGAAGGAATGGCTTTCTCTTGCTCATCTCTGAACAGAGGAGAACACAAACCCATCACAGGTGGATTTTTTCATGACTTGATGCAAATGCGGGAAAGCAGAGCAAATGTCACTGAAAAGGTTGAAAACAGAGGTGTCACTCCACTGTAGACTTTGTTTTTATGTGTATGTAGGCAAACCGGTTTAACACTTCATGTGCAAAAAGCCTCATTGTTAAAGAGAACAGGGAAAGCATCTGCTTTCTCTCTTTACTACCTTTAATCATCACACTCATTAAGTGTATATGTATAGGGTGAAGTCTATAATCAGCCTTTGAGGAGTTTTGAAAACAGCCTTTTTTGTACTCAAAGAAGTTTTGTTGTAGGTGATGAAACTCTGCTACTAGACTCTTCACATTTTTAGGGGACCAGAGTTTCTATGCCCCAGCTTGAAGCAAGGAGACAGGTCTGAGAGACCAACCTCAGCTCTTCTTGCAAGTCTCCTGGCCTTCAGGATGAGGATCTCAATGCAAACACAACTTAACTGCTGATAACAATTCACCTTCCTAACACGTGAGTGAAGGCAGTGTTAAGTAGGTGAGGAACCAACTGAGGACTAAGTTTAGGTGATGAACATGCCCAAAGGAAGATCCAAGGCTGCACTTGAGCCCCCTGGGGTGTTAGTGGACCCAGTGGCTGTGTCCTGGCAGGACAAGTCCCATGGATGCACTGTTCTTACCATCAAGGCCACGGTGTGGTCTCCACAGAAAGGAGACATCACCTTCTGTGATGAGTTGGTGGAGGGGTTAGTGAGTGGGAGGTGATGGTGGGAGCGTTGGGACACGCGGCAGACGTAGTGTTGGCTGTGTCCAGTCTGTGCAAGTTCAATTCACAAAGCTGGGACAGCTTTTGGAAAAAAATTGCAGCATGGCAGGGTGTCATGGGCATCGTGCTGTAGTGACCTGCCTGGGGACGGGCAAGTTACTGTCCCCTCGTCACTGCTGTATGGGCAGGAGAAAGCTCATAACTGCATCTCACCAGTCATGGATCCCTGCTGTGGGGTGGGGGGGCTGTAACTGGGATGTGTGGGAATTAAATGTTGCCACAGTTTCTTCAGAGAAACCAGGGACTAAAAGGACAAGCTGTTTTTCATATCTTGCCCTACACTGCTACCTCATAAGCCATTAAGAAACTCAAGTTTCAACCTCCAAATTGCTGTATTTTAGCACTTGTGGATGTGGTTTCATAGTATTCAGCTAAGTCAGCTTAAGAAATTTCTGGCCCCACCTGCCCATTCCCACCCCTGGCTTGTTCATTGTATCCCACCACTTCTTCAGATAAACACTCCCATTCCTTCTTTTTCTGCTCATTCACAAGGTCTTGTGGTCTTGCTGCCCCTTCACCCCGCATCTACGTAACCTTCATGATTCTGGAGAGGATTAGTTGTTGCAGAGGGAAGTTCTCCCTCATTTCCATGGCTTTGGAGGAGGAGGAGGACAGTGGACTCTGCTCCTCAGACATCATCACTGTTGGGGCAGGTCAGTCCCCTCAAATCTGAACTCACTTCCTCCTTCTCCTGCCCAGACCTGCAGGAGGAGGTTATGGAGGTCAGCAGCATCTGCCCCACCACAAAGTCTAATTGCAGATGCCAAATTCCCCCCCCTCAGCCCTGTCAGAAGGTAGCATTCCTCTGGAACAGGCAATTAGCAAGCAGTAGCACGCAGCACATCTTCCTGATTATCTGCAGGATCTTCTAGTCATTATATTTCACTTTACTGATGATTTCAAGAGGGTAGCCTAAACTGAATTTAATATTTGTGAGGAATAGCAAGCTTACTGAGATTTTTTTCAAAGCTGTAACCAAGTAGATGCAACCATAACTGATGACCAAGAGCCACGTATCCAAAAGCAACGAACTAATGTGTGCTAGTGTGAAGCATGCCCCATTTTGCTGAGACTAGGTGCTAATTAAAGCTCAGACACAGTGGGAGGAATCAGTAAACAAAGTTTTGGAAGGGGAGCAGGTGGAGGGAGGTGACTCACCTGTGGTCAGGCAGTGCCACAGGGTGATGGCAGAGCTCTCCATGGGTCCCCTTCCCACTTCAACCTGCTGCTGCTGTCAACCTGTGAGAAGATAGTTTGCTGGAGCTTCCCTGAGTGACAGAGAAAGCCTCAGTCCAAAGCCCGGGGCCTGCCTAGAGGTCTTTTCCCTTCCTCCACACCTACAGTGATTATGAGAAAGAAAACCAGAGCACAGAAACAAGAGGAACACTAATGGTTTGGCTTCTTCATGTAAAGTCGCCTGGTGATTCAGAGCTTGGGGAGAAGCTCCAGTTTCCCTGCGAGCTAAGGCACAGCATCATGAGCTGCTGGTTGCTTGAAGAAGCACCAAGCAACAAGCAAGTCGCTACTGGAGCAAAGGGATCTTGCTGATGAACACCTGGAGAAGTTGTTTTGTTACAAAAATCTGGTGGTGTGCAAGGTAGGCCAAGGATGTCCTGGCTTAAAATCCCACTCTTTAAATAGAATTTAACAGAATTCATGCCGTGTTTCTCAGTTTTGGCTTTCACAGTGGCGTAAAGACTGGTTCTTGGGTGGTTGGGTTGTGACCTAAGATGCTAGGCTGAATCTTACCTGGTGTCCTAGCTCCCCATGCTCAGGTTCTGGTATTGCAGTTGTTGACCTGAAAGGCGTAGTATAAAATGACAAATGAGGCAAAAGGAGCTGTTGCTGCTGACACGTGTGTTTGGGAGAACTTTGCAAGTTCTCCATGTGGGCTTGGCAAGGGAGGGAAGGAGGAGTCCGACCAAATGCACGCATCACAAAAGGCTCACTTAATCGCACCATGTGCTGTTTGTTTTGCAAAGAAAGGAATTAAGACCACAAGCCACCTCGTTGGGGTTTTTATTTTTATCCTGTGGGGAGCTTTTAATATTTCCCTTCCCCTGCCTCCTCCTGGCTCTGCAGGGAGCTCTCATGCCAAGCCAAATGGAAAGTCTGAGGTCTCCCCGTCACCGCTCCAACCACGAGTTATTGCTTCGGAGCCCTGCATGCCATATCTGTCACGCTGAAGAGTTTTTGGGTCCCCCTCGCTGCTGAGGGACCCCCAGCTCCTCTGAACCCCCCCCAAACCCCAGCTCAAAGTATGCGGGGGCCCCTCTCATTTCCAGCCCCAGCCAGCATAAACATGGGCAGACGGTATCACATTGGAGCTGGAAGCTCGGGGAGGATTAATTTTCCAAGATCCTGACAACAAATGAGGTCTTTTCTGGCAGGTCCTCCATGAGGTCAGCTGTGTGGCCCCGCAGCCAAGAGCCCTATTTCTCTTGGCCTCTATAGGAAGCAGAGGGAGTCCCTGCTCCAGAGGTAGGTGGGTGGATGGAGAGCTGCTCAGAGAGGAGCCAGCAAGGGGCCTCTGTCCCTCTTTGGAGAGAACCTGATCTTAAATACTTGGTGGAGAGGCTACGAGGTCCCATGAAGCTTTTGGGATGGAGGAGGAGGTTGAACAGATTGCATTTCAGGTCTCCTGAACCCTAAGGTGAGGCTTAAGGTCTTTGCAGGGCTGTCCCACGCTTGCCCTAACACAGCGATGGCATGTTTGGGGCTTCTCTAAAACACAGGAGTGGTGCGTGGGGTTTTCCCTGCGTGTGCTATCACCTTCTCTTCTTCATGGCAGGAGGGACAGGGGCAACACGGCAGGTCCCAAGGATGGGCGAAAGTCAAGGTCTACTTTGCCAGACTGAAGGTTTCACCCATCTTCCATATTTCTACCATCTTTCCTCCACTCCTCACCCTCAGTGTTGGCATACTTGACTGCTGAGGGGCTTTGGTAGATGA